TGTCTGGATCTTTGAAGTAAGATAATTGTTCTCTAGGGGATTGCTTTTATTGAAGACCATTGTCTTAAATAAGAATTAAAATTCAGATTGAACATAACAGGTAACCAATTTGGAATGGAAAGAAGTTTTTAATATCTTCTGTGGCCTGAACATCCTAGGAACTTTGAAATAAGTATATAAGATATATCAGATATGTTCAAATGTTATTACTGTTGGCTTAATTATATTTATCATGTTGAATCCATGGCAACACAAAGACAATCCTACATAAAAACAAAGATTGTTAATCTGAAATAGATGAAAAATCTTAGCAATGTTAGATATTTCAAAATGTGATTCAAAACTGGATTTTTCTTTCCTTTTTAGGGAAAAATGTTCATGAAAAATTAAAGAAAGCCTGAATGGTCTGACACTAAGTCTAGATATCAGCTCCTTTTCCTTTTCCATCAGCTATATTTAAGTAGAAGGCTGAAGGTCTGGCATATATTGATTCCATGAACACTCTAAATAAGATAATGACATTCTGTTCATCAAAAGGAAACCCAGCTCTATGTTTAAACGCTCAAGACTCTATGTTTACTCTTCTGTCTTATCTCTTTCCCCCATTTATACCAGGGCTCCTCCCTAACTAACATCTCCCAAATACTTGAAGATTTTTCCTTCTCTTTTATATGAGCTACCCCCACCAAATCCAGAAGAAAAATTGATGGGCACAACGAACGGAGGGATCATGATGGGATGGAATGAGGAAGCAGGATAAAAGAGTTATGTGGTACAAAAGTTATGTTTAAGCAGTGGTCTTCTCTACCAACCTATGAAGAATTCTCAGTTGGCAAAAATAATTGTCAGTTGACAGTGTTTTAGCACCAGTATTGTAACATGAATTAGTGACCCTATGATGTCTGGATTTATCTAATCAGGTTAACTGGCTTCCTTGATTGCATTTTCTGTAAAGATGAGGATACACCACCACCACTTGCTATGAGGCTATTAGACTTTTTATCAGTCATATATTCTCAGTGCAAATCAACAAATTGACATTCTTATTCATGAGTCTCTTTTGTAGGGTTGATTAGTATAAACCTATCTTCTGGGAGTTGGCTCACACCTGATTGAATTGGGAAAACAGTTTCTCATTGGCTCTTAAATCATACCATATAGATATCCATGTAGCCTAAGTCCAAAAAACATTGGTGTGAGGGATAAAAGTGATTTTAGGTCTTTGTATTTTAGGACGAGACACTATACCTATACCTACCTATATGTTCTGAGAACATCATTTGTATTATAACCAAATCAAGGGGTGGACAAGTGGCTTTATGACAGAGTAGTGGAATATTGTGTTACATTCAGAACTTGGTGTAAAAATACTTATTTTGATCTTAGCATTTAATCCTAAGAATCAGTGGACTTAAAGGAAGTCGTAGTTAATGAGAAAAGGTAGATTTTTTTTAAAAACAGAAATACTTCTTAAATACTACTCTTAAATATTTTATTCCTTTCAGAATTCACGCCGGGGCTTGCGCAGGTATTGTAGACTTAGTGGTAACCAGAGGTCTGGATCCTACCAACAGATTCTAGGAGCAAGATGAAATTGCTGATGCCTATAGTGAGGCCTCTGGTTAGAGGTGTAGTGTTGGGAGCAGAAAGCAATGGGCCTTACCTCTTCCATATATAGTCAGTTTTGTTACATATTTTATTCTCCTGGAATGGACTTTCAACAAAACACTTTTGAATGGTGGTTTGTATTTTCAAGTTGCTTTCAAATTCATCATTTTAGCAGATATGAAAAATATCCCTAGGAACTCATTGCTATATTTGATACTTGAGGAAACCAAGAAATACTGATGTTTGTTAACTTGTTAGAGAACATACAGCTGATTAAAAGGCAAAGCTAGGATGAACTCCAGTTATCCAGGCCCAGCTTACTTCCCATTGAAATCCATGCAGTGAGGTAGTCAGAGCAGCCACTGTTAGGTTGCAGAGATTATCACAGAGTATTGGGAAGATAAATTGAAGCAAAAAAACTCCATGCTTGCTTATGTTAGAGTAACAATATTTATTGAGTGCTCATAGTATATATGAGGAACTATGCTGGGCTAGTTGTTGTTGGTCAGCGGAGGTTTAAAAAATAAATAACCCGATACCTTCCCTCAAGATTCTTGTTATCTTTTGAGGAGAATAATAATTATATTTCTGTGGCTGTTATATCTCAGGACCATCTTCTTCCTCTTGTTTGAAAGTATAGGCATTGCCCAAGTTTTAGTACTTGGTCATTTCTTAAATTTGCTTTCTCTCAGTGGAGCCGTTCTTTTGGCCTTGGTTTTCATACTCCCCATATTTAACTTCAGCTTCTACCTCTTACCCATCACTCACATTCAGGGCCATTATTTCCAACCATCCATCAGGCATTGCTTCTTGGAATTTTTGCCATCTCCTTAAACTTAAGAGGTCAAAAACAGAACTCATGATGTCCTACACACTCCCCACTTCCATCCCCAAATAACCTATTTGAATAGTAGTAGCAGGACTGCCCAGATCTCACAGGTTCAAAATTTCAGAGACAGCTCTGACTTATTCGGTTCCTATGCTGCCTGTATCTAATAACTCTCCAACTTCCATATATTATTCCTTTTAAATGTCTCTTTAGTCCCTCTCTGTTCCATTTCCACTGCCACTAGCCTAGCCTATATCTTCACTAACTTCTACTCTTTAAGTGGTCTGTCCATCTACAGTTTCCTCCAAATGTGTTCAGGCTTATGAAACTGCCAGATTCATCTAATCAAAATGTTTTTCCTTTCTGTACTCATTCAAAGTTTGGTGATATGATTTACCATCAGAAAGCACCTGGAATTCAATGTTTAATAATTTGGCCTTAAATTTCCATCAAATTTATTTTCTGTTATTACTCAACTCAATCCCTTTACCATAATCAGATCAGGCTTCTCAGTGAACCCCAGGAGGGCCAAACTCACTCTTGACACTATATATATATGTATTACTGTGTCATTTCTGTGACTAGAATTGAACCCAAACAACATATATTGACCAATGACTATGTGCACAGAAAATTTTTTCAGCATGGTCCCATGTCCTAAATATTCTTTAAGGCCTATCTCATTTTATCTCCTCTGTGAAACCTCCTCCATTCAACCCAGCCCACTGCTATCTTTCTTCTCTAAATCTCTTTGCCACTAAAAACACAAAATTTGTTTTCTGTCTCACATTTTTATGTTCTGTAGGTCTTCTATCCCCATCAACACTGGGAGTTTCCCAAGGTCAGTAACTATGTCTTACCTTACTTTGTGCCACATACTGTATTGAGCTTTATCAACACTTTAAGAGGATTACAACAGATTTCAGATATTTTAATAAGAACATAAGAAAAAAACAAAATGAATCAAAGTAGACATCCAAGCAGAGCTATGTTACTTGGGAGACTGTGATAATTACCCTTTGTGGCATCAAATCCACAATGTTGGATATATACCGTAAAGACCCATGATATCCCTTTAATCCCTTACTATCAGCCAGTTATAAGGCAAAGACAAATTTATAATTTTTTGTACCATGGAAGAATCTTGCTTTTTTCCAAGATAAATAGTTCCTAAATACATCAAAATTTTGATTAAGAGTAAGAGGGAAAAGGTAGTAGAAAACTGATGATTCTGGACTAGGAAGACACTGACATGCTGGATTCAGACTGGACTCAACCTGAAAACTTTAATTTACCATTTTATTTGAGTTCACTGACTCCCAGGCTGATTTATTGGATTTTCAGGAACTGATTGTCTAATGCAGAAATTTAAATGTTATGGGGACTTGAGGAGCAGTTTTTGTTAAGGGGATGGATGTAAATATAGTACTTGAGGTTGTTAATTTGCTATGTAAACACAGACTTTTTAGTTTTAATTGTCAATTAATAGTAAAACAACAGAAAACATTTTCAAATGATTGCAATAGAAACCATACACTTAATCTTGTTGCAATAGATACTGTAAACTTAAAATTATCTAGAAGCAAATTTCATTAATATATTTGAAATGCAAAACAGTCCCAAGTCCAGGTTTAGTTACATTTTGTTTTTGAATAATCACTTGATAAATGTATGGTGTTATGGCCTCTCTCTAGGTTTCAAAATAATCAGAGCACTGAAAGACCACTAAATTAAAAGTCTTTTGCTTTTTGTTTTTTATTTAGAGATGGAACCCACCCAGCCACCCACCCATTTCTTTATCCTTGAAAACATCTACTTTGCTTCTAAGTAGAAGAAAACTCCTGGACAAGATTTTTATTAAAATGTATGAAGTAATGGCTCTATATAAACCTGGTTTGTGTATATACCAAAGTTACTAAATAGACCATGCAATTTCCTCATACTCATTTATAGTTGTGAGAGCTTTCTATTTGCAGTCTCTAGTCAGAATTCACCAATTTTTAGCTGTGTGGTATATTTCCAGAAAACATTTTAATCTCTCTACTTCCTTATTTACAAAACAGTGAGAGTAAGACTTATTGATTGTAGGGTGTTGAGGGGTTCAAGTGGGATAATGAATGTGAGAATACTTTGTGAAAATGTGAGATTATTCTTCACTGTTTGGTTTACCTTCAGCAGTCACCATGTATTTTCTTTCCATTTTGAAGGAAACTGCTACTACAGATTAGAGATACTCCATTAAGCCCTTAAAATAGAATTCTAAAGTATGCCATACACTTATAACTTGATTGAAAAGGTGCTGGAAACTTGGGGGCTGTCTCCTCTGTATTTTACAACACAAGTCCCTAGAAGAAGCACTGAGTAGCACTTATTAACAGCTATTTAGATTATCAAAGCCCTAGCCAATACACAAAGCAGAAAGAATTCAAACTAGCGTCTAATTTAAAGCAGGCAAGGCAGATTAGTTATCTCAAAACTCCTCGGAATTCACTAGAATTTGCTAAGAGCAAAATTCTACTAAATAATGGTCTGGCCGCAGGATTGAAATGTTGAATCTGCTTACCTGCCAACGTCAAGATAGACAGTTTAGGATCCTTTTGTATTGACTCTCAGAAGCAAGCTCCAGGTCTTCAATAAATCCACTTTACTTGTCCTCTGGATGTTGTTGAGCTGTGCAGTGAATCTGACTACCCTTGAGGGTCCTTAAACACACTTCACTCACAGGGTGCCTGCTCTTAAAGCAAGCTTCTTTGAAAAGACAAGTTGCTGCTGTTTTCAAGAGGAAAGGGCAGGGCACATATGCTAGCCAATGTATACAGATTCTTCTTCCTCTTTCAGATTAGTCCTCAAACTGTTTAAAGCATGCCTAAATTTGGCTTCTCTGGTACAACATTGGGGAGGGGAAGGTAGAAAAAGGGAGAAAGAATGGAGACTGGAGACTTGCCAGTTGCTGTCTGTATAAATGAGCTTTTATCCCTAGCTCTAGCAACAGAATCCTTAGGAAATCACACAGCTGCTCTGATATGGGAAGCAGGAAGAAGTATACTCTGTCTAGGTTAATTTCCTCTGATTTTTATGACTTGGGGGTGGTTAGACTATTTGTAGGTGGAGAAAGATAATCCTACCAGTCAGTATATGCTAATATAACTGCCATTAATATAACTGTCAGTATATGCCAATATAACTACTTGATCTTAGACAAGATAAATAACATCTCTCTCTGTCTTTCTCTTTTTCTGTCTCCTTTAGGTCATTTATGGCTCTATTTACACACTAAAAAGCCTTTTCCTTTCTAGTTCTGTTAGGCAGAAAGACAAAAATGAGCGGGATGGAAAGGAGAAAGGGCCCCCAAAGATGACTCAGGGAGTTGATCAAATAGAGCCAGAAAGCCAGAAATGACTCAAAGAGTTAATCAGATGAAGCCACAGGGTCCAAGAGTGACTCAGGAAATGTCCAGGGTCCCCCCAGATAAGAAATATCAGAGGCACAGGCACAGCACAGCCCCTGTCCCCATTTCACCAATCAGAAGAAGCCTAGAGAGCTGACTGCTGTCAATCAAGGACCTCTCTGCCCTGCCAAAACCACATAAAAGAAGCCTCAGAATGAGCATCCATGCCTGCCTGTCTTATCTTAGGCAGGCCCACTCTGTTACTCTATGCAGAGTGCATTAAAACTTAGTTTGCTTTCTTGACTTTGGTCTCTCGTCTCACTATATCTGACTTCCCTGCAGCTCCAAGCCAAGTCCTTTCCTTCCTAACAGTTCCTTATATCCTGAAAAATAATTGTCTTTGTTCGATGTTGATGTCCCCAAATCCCTATGATAATACATTGCCCCTACTGGATTAAAAGTGAATTTTGTTTGGTCACACAGAATGGTTGGAATGAGTCCACATTGTATTGGGTTTTGGTGATACTTAAGTTTCCTTAATAAGATAACAAAGATAAATTATTTCAAAGGTCACCTTGACGATTGTTTTGGGTCCACTATAGTTTTAAAATTCAAAACTAAAATTTAGACTGAAATTGTCAATATTAGAGTACCACAATTCAGTAGTAGAGGTGCCATTCTTTCTCCATAATTAGACACAGAATATTGTTAAACATTTGCATAATGATGTTTGTGAGTTTTGAGTGGACTAACAGACTCATAGGATATTGGTGGTAGAAAGGAATTTGCATATATTTAATTCAACTTTCTCTTCTTACAAATGAGAAAACTCAGTAACAGAGATATAGTAATGACAGAGAGCATATGGCTAGCAATTGGAAGCATAAGATAGTCACTTACAAGTTTATTCATTCTTCAGATAATTTTTTTTTTCTGTTCAAGAAAGGGAAACCATAGAAGTGTTAAGAATTATATCTAGCTCACAGCCCTATAGTCTCCTGGTACTAGGAAAGCAGAATTTTGAGGGAGGCAAAATATGTCAATTTCATCTCTCCTGATTCTAAGTACCTTTCCCTTGCTCCCCTCTGTCTCCCAAAGTTGAAACTAATTAGTTTTAGTATTCTTTTTGTTTAATTATCATTTTGGAAATTATTATATCTCACTATCACAGTGATTTGTGTACATGACTGTCTTAAATTCTTGATGAGAGGGGTATATCCCTATGTTTACCCCTGTCATGACATTTAATATCCTGTCCTATAATTTTTCATTTGTTGGTGACTCCCATAAATGAACCTTTGAGTGAGAGAATAGGGTACATTTGTCTTTGTATTTCTAGCTCAGCACGTAGAACACAGTAAATAATCCAATAACTTGCGTTAATGTAAGTAGATGAAGCTCAAATTTTAATCATCAGGTAGCCTGTGGAATAGGACTTGGGAAGATTTGAGATTCCATTTAGTTGTTTCATCTCCTTTAGACCTCTGTTACTCTATGTTTAGAATTTGTTAGCATTTGAACGGTGAACTCTATGGATTTAGCTAAAAGAGGGCTTGATATCTATACCAGAATATGATATAACTTAATATTTATTTAACTCCAGATATCTACGATTTGGAGTAGTATTGCATTAAGAAAGCTTGGGCATATTATGCAAAAAATGCTTTGAAAATTGTACAAGACTGATGATCACTTCAGTCCACAATGACAACTCTATTCCACTGAAACTGAACTATTTTTCTTGATATGTACTATTAATTGCCTTATAGTATCTCTTAGACTATAGAAATTTTCACTCTTGAGCCAGACTATGGGCTTCATGAAGGATGGAACCATTCTTTCGTTTTCATTGTGCAATTCTCATGCCTATCAAAAGGCTTAGTGTAGAGTAGACATTCAATAGAGACCTGTTTAATGAATGAATATAATGAATACCCAGATAACTGTTGCATGACCCAGTGATAGATAGGTCCAGTGGAGCCAGAGTTGGATTTATGGGCTTTGCAAAGTTGAAATACACACACACACACACACACACACACACACACACACACACACACGCACACACACATAGGGATTGCAGTTTTGATGCCTCCCATATTTCAGGTTTTCAGGATGTAAAATTTCCCATAAATCTTCTCAACTCTTTCTCTTCTACTCCTCACATTCAATACTTATAAAGTATCAGACTTCTGCAGTAGACACTGTTGTTTGTCCATCATAAAATGTCCTATTTTTTTCTTCTAGAGATGGAGTTGGACAGAAGCTAACATTATGGGAGGAGTTCAAGATGGCAGAGTGAGAAGGGTGGTGGAAATCTCCAACCAAAACCACATATATTTCTGAAAATACAACAAATACAACTATTCCTAAAAGAGAGACCAGAGGGTACAGTTACAACAGCCAGGCTACATCTACATCTGTGAGAACTCAGCATGTCACAAAGCAGGTAAGATACAAAGCCATGACCCAGCCGGATCAAGCACTTCCCCCACCCCAGCTCACCAGTGGGAGGAAAGGAGGTGGAGTGGGGAGGGAGTGGAAGCACAGGACTGCTAAATAACCAGCCCCAGTAATCTGCACTGGGAGCACAGACACACATTGCATGGTGTGCTGGATATTGGAGAAATGGAAGGGTAGGGTTGGAGATGGAGACTGCAAGCAGGTCCCCAAAGTTGGCTCCCGTGGGACAAAAGAAAACTGGGCACTTTAAAAAAGTCTTAAAGGCTTTCTGTCATGAGTAGAGCAGTGGAAATCTCCTCCCATAACCATATGTATTTTTGAAAATATAACAAATACAACTATTCCTAAAATAGAGACCAGAAGATACAGTGCAACAGCCAGGCTACACCTACACCTGCGAGAACCCAGTGCCTCAATAAGTGGGTAAGATACAAGCCCGGTGGGACATGAGCACACCCCTCAACCCAGCTCCTCAGTGGGAAGAGAGGAGTCAGAGCGGGAAGGGAGAGGGAGTCCAGGACTGCTAAATACCCAGCCCTAGCCATCCACACTGGGAGCACAGACACACAGTGTGTGGTGTGCTGGCTACTAGGGAAATGGGAAAGTAAAATCTGCAAGCAGGTCCCTGCAGCTGGCGCCCCTGTGACAAAAGAAAAGCGAGTGCTCTTTGAAAGCCTTAAAGGGACTGGAGCCTCACAGCTGGACAGAAGTATCCCAGTGCACTCAGCTGAGCAGCTGGGAATCCTGGGAACTCCGGGAGCCATAACCCTCTAGATGGCAGGGCAGCTTGGAGGCCCCTCATGGCGATAAAGAGCCTCCTGCCCATTCCCCTTCTGGCGTGCTCCACCATAGAAGAGCAGCAGCTGGAGACTGGCCATGCCCACATCAGCCACACAGAGCTTCCTCCACAGCAGCCTGGGCAAGAATCAGAGACCCCTTCTGGCCATAGCTGCCCAGCACTAGCTGCTAGGGGTCGCTGCTCTCACAGGAGAGGAAGGCCTCCAACTAGCAAGAAGGGATGTTCTCCCAGCTGACACATGTGCCAACTCCCCACAACTACCTCTATCACCATGAAAACACAGAAGAATTTGATCCAGACCAGACTAACAGAGACAACCCCTGAGAAGGAGCTTGGGGGAGATAGACCTAACCAATCTTCCTGAAAAAGAATTCAAAATAAAGGTCATAACAATGCTGATGTAGCTGCAGAGAAAAATGCAAGAGCTAACGGACAAAGTAGGGAGGGAATCTACAGAAATAAAACAGTCTCTGAAAGGATGAGATGCAAGAGGCCATTAACGGAATAGAAACCAGAGAACAGGAATGCAGAGAAGCTGATGCAGAGAGATAGAAGGATCTGCAGAAATGAAACAATATTAAGAGAAATGTGTGACCAATCCAAATGGAACAATATCCACATTATAGGGGTACCAAAAGAAGAAGAGAAAGAAAAAGGGATACAAAGTGTATTTGAAGAAATAATTGCTGAAACCATCCCCAAACTGGGGGAAGAAATAGTCACTCAGACCAAGGAAGCACACAGAACTCCCAAAACAAGGGACCCAGGAGGACAACACCAAAACACATAATATTTAAAACGGTAAAGATCAAGGATAATGACAGAGATTTAAAGGCAGACAGAGAGATGAAAAAAGTCACCTACAAAGGAAAACCCACCAGGCTATCATCAGACTTCTCAACAGAAACCTTACAGGCCAGAAGAGAATGGCATGGTATATTTAATGCAATGAAACAGAAGGGGCGTGAACCAAGGATACTGTGTCCAGGATGATTATCATTTAAATATGAAGGAAGGATTAAACAATTCCCAGACAAGCAAAAGTTGAGGGAATTTGCCTCCCACAAACCACTCTACAAGGTATTTTAGAGGGACTGCTCTAGATGGGAGCAT